AGTGTCCACTTGTATAAAATATCCGATCTATTTTTCACTGTGCCTAAAAAAATCCATGGTTGAGACAAATATACCAATGCATAAGAAAACCCTTATCAATGGTCATCAAGCTGTCATCATGTTATATAATTACCGAGCAGAATCGCAAGAATTTATTTTATCATATTTTAATGTGTTTTTGTCCCTTTACCTGCACAAATTTAATACAGACACAATAAAACAACTGCTCATTGAATAACACTTATAACATGAACGGAACCAATTGTACTGCAGCAGATGCACATTTCAACAATTAATGTTTGAGGACAAAATATTTGAAAATTCAGAAACATATAAATTTATTCGTTCATTGTGTGTTAATTTGTGTTTTTTGATTGAGTTAAGCCTTCCAATTGATATTTTATAGTGTGTCTTTCTATGTTGTGATGTTATACTATTGTTTCAGAAAAGTGAGACGGTTTGGTACCATTAAAACGTTTAATCCCGCTGCAAATGTTTGCACCTGTCCTAAGTCAGGAATCTGATGTACAGTAGTTGTCGTCTGTTTATGTAGTTCATACGTGTTTCTCGTTTCTCGTTTTTATATAGATTAGACCGTTGGTTTTCCCGTTTGAATGGTTTTACACTAGTCACTTTTGGGGCCCTTTATAGCATGCTGTTCGGTGTGAGCCAAGGCTCCGTGTTGAAGGCCGTACCTTGACCTATAATGGTTTACTTTTATAAATTGTTACTTGGATGGAGAGTTGTCATTCATTGGCACTCATACCACATCTTCCTATATCTATAAACATTTTGAAGAGCTGATAAAACCAAACAGAACAGAAAGTAATGCCAACCCGTACAAGGAATGAGAGCTTTGCACGAAGGAGATACGTTCCATTATTAAAAAAAGAAAGATTTTAAAATATCATACCAGAAAATTTCAATCAAATAATACCCGTATGTTCATGCCTAACTGTTTTACTATGGAAATGAGTCTTTATCGTGCCTTCAAAATAAAGTAAGCGGCAATCACTTTCATTTTTACTACACTTTGAGTAAGTGACTGTGTAAGTTGTTTTGCAACATATCAATAATAAAGGTATAATAATAACTTATATGAGTTATATTTTTTCATTTTACAAATACATTGTGTAATGCCATAACAAAATCTAAACAAATCATTATATTTATGAAACCATCCGTAACTTTTGAGATACTCTTTGTCATTGGCTTAATGACCGAGGGGTTGAATATAAAAATCTCTTTACCAAATTGCAAAACAATTTATACCCATCACAATGTATGTTGAAAAAGTAACTGAAATATTGAAGGGTATCCGATTTTGGTCCTGTTGTTAGGAAAAAGTAAAATAACAAAAATACCGAACTCCAGGGAAAATTCAAAACAAAAAGTCCATTATGAAAGGACAAACTTTATTTATGACGTCATTTTCAATGTAAACCTAAGAAACGCTATCTGCTTCGGGAAACTTTTTTTTTATAATAAAGATAATAAAGATTGAGAGCATAATAATGTATACTTTAACCGATGAAAATACCTCATCAGGTTATCATTGTTCCTCGTGCATCAGAGAAAGATACAAAATACAAATATCTCCCTGATCAGGTGAGTTTCCCAACTGCGTTTCTGTCCTCATATCATTACTATTGTTCTTTTTGGTAATCAGATATACAAATTGTGGGGAATCGCATGACTTACAACATGGTAGCTTCCGTCAACACAACAGGGTAATGCTAGAAAAACGTTAAACATTTTGAGTTCATTAGTATATCGATTTTTTATTTTTATTATTGATTTCGTTTTATTCATTTTCTTACTGCCATTAAGGACTTCGTCCGCATACTAATTGTATCCTTTAAAACTAAATCGTATTCCAATGTTTGTTCAACACATAGACAAGAGGTTAGACCTGATCCACAATGTATGTAGATAAAGCAAAATATATTTTAACAAAACGCATTTGACTAGCAGGTCGAACAACGGATGTTCTTAAACCCTGCTGACTGCCATTGGCGATTGCCAAATAAAACGATCACCAGATGTAACAAAATAGATCTTAAATATTAATTTGATATCAAACAGAAAACAATAAACTTGCGGAAAAGATGGTAAACCGCAAACAAAAGGTGCAAAAATTAGTACACCATATCCGGATTTCGACAATTAATGTCTCTTCAGTGATGTTAGGAATCGAAACGGTATTTGGAAGGCCATATAATTTACCTCAATTTTGGATAGACTCTTGAATTTTGAAGAGTCGAAATAGGATAAACGAATCATATAAACCCGAAGGCAAATATAATACAAGCCCAAACGAAAAAATATAAACAAGTCTAAATTGAAAACAACGTTCAAACCTATGATTGCGTTGGATAAAAACCGCAATTTTTATACGTGTGCATGCAAAACAAATTTCATGGTAAAGGGGTCTAAGTACAGCACAAACAACAAAGTGTCAAAGTATATTTTAACAAAACGCATTTGACTAGTTTGTGCTGTATTAAGACCCCTTTACCAAGAAATTTGTTTTGCGTGCACACGTATAAAAATTGCGGTTTTTATCCAACGCAATCATAGGTTTAAACGTTGTTTTCAATTTAGACTTGGATAAAACAAAATATATATTGAACTTTTTTGCATTATTTTTTTACGACAACAATCGATAGAAATGTGTCTCAGGAACAATACTGCAAAAGCAAATCACAGAAAACAATATGTAAGGATACGTCATGGAATGTGTGATCTACTTGATGTTCCATTAGCTTCAAGTATACAGTTTTGTAATGTATCAAAGAAACATTTCTAAGGCAAGACATTATATCTTTTCATATGATAATTGTGAATATATCATTGCTAAAAACATAAAGGTAGTTAATGAGAACACGAAGATTGGTCTTCATATTGGGGCAAGTTCCTCTATTTCAGCTCTATATCAAACTGAACAGTTTCTGCAATATATTTCTTTTAAACATTTGTTAACATGCTGTTTCTTTTACACAGAACACATAAATATTTAGACTGTTAAGCCTACTGGTTATGAATAATAGTCGATTTCTTCCTGAATAAAACCATAATTTGCATGTTCCTGTATTAGTTTGTATGTATATATGATGAGGCAGTATATTTCTTTTAGTAGAATTACAATTTACAACCATAGTTAAAAACTCATAAATAGTCCACTGCAATCAGGCTTATTATTTCTAGCTACAATCTCTGAAATAATATGGTTTTATCAATATAGCTTATAAACTAGAATTAGGAATTTGATTTACAAGGAGTAATAATATGTCGTTATCAATGCTGAAACATGACTTAATTAAGATTAGTTTTACTTATAACATAGTTAGATTCATCACAGTTAGCACATGGGATGTGCTGATGATGTTAATACCAATTTATATCGATAAGAACCGATAAAACGACTTCAAACACCAGCGCTTTATTAAATAGTATAGTCGTAAATATCATGTATTATCACCAAAATTCATAATATCGGCGTATAACTGCATCAACAAAAAATTAATTATGATTAATCAAGTATCCCACTTTTCAGACCTATGACAAAACTACGGACATCGTGTTCAATTACACTTTATTATAGGACGCCCAATAACCTATTACAACATGTAGGATTGATATTTCTGACTATTTTTCTTGAGCTACAGTTTGCAAGTTACAGCTCAGGCTACCTTAGCTATACATGTATCTTGTAGTAGCTTGCACATTTTTACACTGCTTTCCAAATCATGTGGCGTCTTTTATTTGCTTGAACACAAGTTAGTAGTTATTGTATTATTATTTTTTTAGATTGCTTGCAAGCATCTTCAAATCATTTTTTTAAATACATGTCTCAGTTGTAACTTACTTTACATAGAAGTGTTATCATTTAACAGCAAAAAGTTCAGATTTTGGCAATTAAAACAGAAAAAGTCCAGATAGTACAGCAATTCATATTGTCATAAAAATGCAGCGATAAAGTATCAAATTGATGACAGAAAAATAGACGCATATAAGATTTCATTTCAAATCCATAACTTCAAAACATCTTCTGAAAGTGTAACTGCATCTGGAAAATTCCGGATAATGACAATTTTCCAGTTTAATCTATCAAAACTAATTGCTCTTTTCAGAACAAAAGAAAAGATGAAACATGTATTTATTACTTTTATGTAAATCAGATGTAATCGTCTCATTTCTTCGGGGCTCACGCCCCTCAGATATGAGAAGCTTACATCTTATACGTATAATTCGACTCTGATAAAGGGAGCTGTATGTGAACTTTTAAATAGTACATTAATAAAATTGGTAGAACAGCATTTTGTATTCTGTACACAGGTTAACATTTTAACATATAGTTATTATGAGATAAATAAATATCGTGACATCCAGCGTCTGATATAAATATTATCTGATGAAAAAGGAGGCAACAGATAACAAAGTGACAATCAAAAATCATAATCAGACAATAACAATGCAAAAGAACGACGAAAAGAAAATCAACAATCTTCAACTGGATACTACACTGAATCTATAGACTATAGCTTAATGTCAATTATATATTTTATCGAAACTTAAAGGTTGGACGTACTGTTTGTTATAATGCTGCATGCGCGTATTTTTTGATAGAATGTATTGACAGTTTTTCAGTGATTACAGTTGTATCTTACTATTATTCCTAATATTTCTATAAATTGGGATTTCATAGATTATATCTTTGATGGTGTTTTTTTTTTATAACTGAGTATAAAAATTTGAAGATATTAAAGAATTATTTTAATTAAAGATATTTTTCTGTATGGTCTATAAAAGTGTTTCTTGAATCAATATTTGCAATGACAACAAACCTAATAATGAAATGTTGGCGTTAAAATTTTATTTTCTTGAAAATCATAAACAACATTAACTGATGCATATTTACAATAATTGAGGCATGATTTAAATGCAGAAGTGCTATTTAAAGAAATCTTTCAAACATAAATAACTTTTATTAACTCATCAAGAAAACGGCAGAGTGATATCTCGAACTGACATTTTGACATTTTTACAAGATGCCTATCCCCAACATTGTATATGATATTGTGCTCTAATAAACAGTGGAATATGTTAGAGTTTACAAGATGCTTGAAGTTCCCTCCTGATTTTGTGTTCTAATAGCCGGTACAACAAAATAGATTTTTTACAATACGCATCCCTCCAACGTTGAATGTGATTTTGTGCTCTTATAGACAGTGGAACAAGTAAGAGTTTAAAAGCTGCTTGAAGTTCCCTCCTGATTTTATGGTCTAATAGCCTGTAGAACAAAATAGATTTTTACAATACGCATCCCTCCAACGTTGAATGTGATGTTGTGTTGAGATAACCAGTGGAACAATGTATTACTTATCTAGCTGATATGATTTCTGAATGGAAGAATCCAATTGATTATTGTGATACACCAATAATGCTTGTGGTTTAATCAAAGACAATCATTGGTCAGATAGTTGTGATATATCTGAATCCGATTATTCACTTTTATCAATTATCATTTCTATAAAGAGACAAATGGAAGATAGTATAATGATCTGTAATATAGAGCACGGTTTATGATTTAGTGGAATTTGAATATACAGAGTTGATTTGATAGTACAATTTAACTACATATTAATATTGTATTATAAGCTGATTTGCAGTTATGATTCAAACAATGAACATAACCGAACCTTTGACTAATGATAGTACTCGAGCAAACGCTACCTGCTTAGACAACAGCTGTTTTAAACCGTATGAAATACCAGCCCTAACTTTGGAATGGAAAATACTCATACCACTATACTGTCTAATCTTTGTATTGTCTGTTGTTGGGAACATACTGGTTATCCTGACGTTAGTCCAAAATAAACGGATGAGAACAGTGACAAATGTCTTCCTGCTCAACCTCGCCATCAGTGATTTGTTTATAGCTATACTATGTATGCCCTTCAACACAATACCACTCATTCTACAGAATTTCATTTTTGGGAAGTTTATGTGTATATCAGTACGTTATCTGCAAGGTAAGTTAATAATTGTCATTCATAGATATGTAAATAGTGAATCCCTGGATACCATAATGATTCAGATTATCCCAAATGTCTTTCTGGTTTCACTATGATGTAGGGTATTGTCATTTTGTATGGTTATACTTTTACCCCAGGAATAGATTACATAAGCTGTATTTCCCAAACGTTTTAGGAATTTTGGGTCGTTAATGCTCTTCAACTTCGTACCTTTTTTGGCCTTTTAAACTTTTTTGATGCAAGCGTCACTGATGAGGTTTTTGTAGACGAAATACGCGTCTGGCGTAAAAAAAGTCAATCCTGCTATCTATGATGAGTTTTTTTTTTTTATCCTTTACGGTTTTATCAGTTCTTCAACATTTGTATTAGATTTGGGTTTTCAAAAATATCGGCCGCGAATATCTTGTTGAAATGCATATCTGGTCCTGAATATGTTCTTACACGTTTTAATGAATATCGCTTTATAAAATTTCGTTCGTCCGAAGCGCTTCTCTGGATTTGCCTTCTGGAGGAAAGCTCAAACTTAAGCATTCGAAAGCCAATGATGCAAAATTACGTAGCCACGTTAGTAGCTATACGACCAAACCGGACATAAAAAGAATAGCCTAATTCATCTCAGGTCAATTTTGCATGAGGAAGTTTGAATTTTTTTTTTTTTAAATATTATTAATGTCTTAATGTATAAGCTACTTTATATAATTTGGAGTATATAAATTCATTCCAACTTTTGATTGAATCCATGTTTATCAATTTCACCTATCTAAGACCAAGTTTGCGGGAGTTTGGACCTTGGTTTTTGAATATTAAGAAGATATTTAGAAACCAAGGTTCAAACTCCCGCAAAGCTGGTCTTAGATAGATGGAATTGATAAACATGGATTCAATCAAAAGCTGGGATGAATTTATATGCTATATTTATATGGTTTCTAAATATCTTCTTAATTGATTAACAGTGAATTTAATTCGTCCTTTCATTTGGATGATGATTGTTAATGTAGTAATTCGAATTAATTCATCATAACGTGTACTTACATTTTCTTTGTGAAAACCCATTATCCGAATTTTTTTCTAGCAACATATTGTAACAATCAACTATTGACATGTTGACAATGCATAATATAAAACAAGCAATCATACAGGCTTTGTTTCTTCTAACTTCATGTATTCCTAGGTTCGAGTGTTGTAGTTAGATGAGTAACACGACGAGTGCCACATGTGGAGCAGAATCTGTACACGCTTCCGAAGCACCTGCGAGCAACCCCGATTTTTGTGTTGCTCAGTCTGTAGCTTTCTATGTAGTGTTTTATATGCTGTCGTTTGTCTTTTGATCGTTTGTTTGTTTTGTTTTTGCCATGGCATTGTCCGTTTATTTTCGACTTATGAGATCGAATATCCCTTTGGTATCTTTCGTCTCTCTTTTGAAACCTAGACGCTAGATGTCATTTATTTTGTCTTGTCCGCGTCTAGCAAAACTTTCAATAAGTATATGAGAGACTATCGCAGATCTGAAATTAATATCAACACGTGCATTTGTTTCTCTCACTTAGTTGATAGAGCTGCATTTCTTTTCATCTTCCTAAGTTAAGTTTCATATCAAGTTTTAACTTCTCTCAAAACGACGACCTATACTTGAAACTTAATAAACGACGATCTAAAAACGTAACTTATAAAAGCGACGATATATAAATACATGTAACTTTAAAAATTGACGATCTATTTACATGTTACTTTAAAACGAAATGAAGGAAGTTACTCTGGAACACATTAGCTAATTTCAAAGAAAGCTCTTATCAGTAATTTTCTGCATGCTGGGTTGGTCGTTATCACATCCTTTGTTACTAATTATCTGCATGCTGAACTGGAAATTATCACATCGTTGTAAAATAATAATGATTAGTGTTCATGAACTTAGTATTCATGAACTTTAGCCAGGATAACGGTACTGGAATGAAAAAGACGGAATTTGTTGTTGCAAAATTGTGAAATTATTTGATATTAAGAAATATATCTCCCTAATGCAAAGCTCTGATCCTTACACGGCTTTGCTTATAGTTTTAGTCGTTTTTTGTTTTATCAAGTTTTTGATTTTCAAATATTTTGCCTCGATCATAACTGAAGAGACATATCATTGTTTGGGGTTTGTGTTGCTCAGTCTTTAGTTTGATATGTTGTGTGTCGTAAACTGTTGGTTGTTTTTTGGTCGTTTTTCATTTTTTGCCATGAAATCGTCAGTTTGTTTTCGGTTTGTTTGAATGTCGTTTTGTTATCTTTTGCCTCTCTTTCACGGAAACAAAAAATCAAATACACAGCTTCTAATTACTGTTTGTCGTTAAAAAGTCTCAGTGAGAACAAGACAACATTAAAAGCAAAGAAAATTGTGATTTTGCAGCTGTTTTTCGTGAAACCATGTAATGTGGCATTTAAATAAATGAATATACCATTTGCAGCAAGTTAAGATTCCTTAAATCTTTACACTTTTGAATAATATACATGAATTGGTACTATGTTGCATTGATTCCTTGCATTGACCGTTGTAACATGTAATAAATATAGGGATCATTATTAGTAAACCCATTAAAGATTTCGTGTAATTTTTGGCACTATCTAACCCAAACTCCCTTGCATTTATTTACTTACTTGAAGCACTGTCTAACCCAAACTCCCTTCACATTTCTTGTTCTTTCTTGTAGCACTGTCTAACCCAAATTCTCTCACATTTCTTTCTCCGACTTGTAGCACTGTCTAACCCAAACCTTCTCACATTTTTTTTCCTACTTGTAGCACGGTCTAACCCAAACTCCCTCGGATTTCTTTTCTTACTTGTAGCACTGTCTAACCAACATTATCTCATTTCTTTTTCCGACTTGTAGCACTGTCTAACCCAAACCTTCTCATATTTCTTTTCCTACTTGTAGCACTGTCTAACCCAAACTCCCTCGGAATTCTTTTCTTACTTGTAGCACTGTCTAACCAAAATTCTATCACATTTCTTTTTCTTACTTGTAGCACTGTCTAACCCAAACTCCCTCACATTTCTTTTTCTTACTTGTATCACTGTCTAACCCAAACGCCCATCACATTTCTTAACTTACTTGTAGCACTGTCTAACCCAAGCTCCCTCACATTTCTTTTTCTTACTTGTAGCACTGTCTAACCCATGCTCCCTCACATTTCTTTTTCTTACTTGTAGCACTGTCTAACCCAAACTCTCTCACATTTCTTGTTCTTACTTGAAGCACTATCTAACGCAAACTTTCTCACATTTCTTTTCTTACTTGCAGCACTATTTAACCCAACTCCCTCACAATTCTTCAATTACATGTAGCACTGTCTAACTCAAACTCTCTCACATTTCTTTTTTCTATTTGTAGCACGGTCTAACCCAAACTCCCTCACATTTCTTGTTCTTACTTGTAGCACTGTCTAACCTAAACTTTCTCACATTTCTTTTCCTACTTGTAGCACTGTCTAACCCAAACTCCCTCGGAATTCTTTTCTTACTAGTAGCACTGTCTAACCCAAATTCTATCACATTTCTGTTTCTTACTTGTAGCACTGTCTAACCCAAATTCTATCACATTTATTTTTCTAACTTGTAGCACTGTCCAACTCAAACTATCTCACATTTCTTTTTCCTACTTGTAGCACGGTCTTACCCAACTCCCTAGCAATTCTTAATTTACTTGTAGCACTGTCTAACTCAAACTCTCTCACATTTCTTTTTCCTATTTGTAGCACGTTCTAACCCAAACTCTCTCACATTTCTTGTTCTTACTTCAAGCACTGTCTGATCCAAACTCCCCCACATTTCTTTTTCTTACTTGTAGCACTATTTAACCCAACTCCCTCGCAGTTCTTAACTTACTTGTAGCACTGTCTAACGCAAACTCCATCACATTTCTTTTCTTACTTGTAGCACTGTCTAACCCAACTCCCTCGGAATTCTTGTTCTTACTTGTAGCACGTTCTAACCCAAACTCTCTCACATTTCTTGTTCTTACTTCAAGCACTGTCTAATCCAAACTCCCCCACATTTCTTTTTCTTATTTGTAGCACTATTTAACCCAACTCCCTCACATTTCTTTGTCTTACTTGTAGCACTGTCTAACGCAAACTCCATCACATTTCTTTTCTTACTTGTAGCACTGTCTAACCAAACTCCCTCGGAATTCTTGTTCTTACTTGTAGCACTGTCTAACCCAAACTCCCTCACATTTCTTTTCTTACTTGTAGCACTGTCTAACCCAACTCCCTCGCAATTCTTAACTTACTTGTAGCACTGTCAAACGCAAACTTCCTCACATTTCTTTTCTTACTTGTAGCACTGTCTAACCCAACTCCCTTGCAATTCTTAACTTACTTGTAGCACTGTCTAACGCAAACTCCCTCATATTTCTTTTCTTACTTGTAGCACTGTCTAACCCAAACTCCCTCACATTTTTTTGTCTTACTTGTAGCACTGTCTAACCCAAACTCCCACACATTTCTTTTCTTACTTGTAGCACTGTCTAACTCAAATTATCTCACATTTCTTTTTCTTACATGTAGCACTGTCTAATCCAAACTCCCTCACATTTCTTTTTCTAACTTGTAGCACTGTCTAACTCAAACTATCTCACATTTCTTTTTCTTACATGTAGCACTGTCTAACCCAAACTCTCTCACATTTCTTTTTCTTATTTGTAGCACTGTCTAACCCAAACTCCCTCACATTTCTTTTTCTTATTTGTAGCACTGTCTAACCCAAACTCCCTCACATTTCTTTTTCTCACTTGTAGCACTGTCTAACCCAAACTCCCTCGGAATTCTTTTCTTACTTGTAGCACTGTCTAACCCAAACTCCCTCACATTTATTTTTCTTACTTGTAGCACTGTCTAACCCAAATTCTCTCACATTTCTTTTCTTACTTGTAGCACTATTTAACCCAACTCCCTCGCATTTCTTTTCTCATGCACGGCTTCGTAATTACAGAATTTCACAATACAAGTTAAATCAA